CATCTGGATGCAGAGGATGTTCACAATCCGGATACAGGTGGCATCCCTGCCGACAGCGGGCCCGAAAAATTATATGGTTGTAGTGATGTCGACAAAGTCGATGCTTTCCACAACCAAGCGTAACTGTGTCAGTGATCTCACAAAGAAGGAGGTCACAAGGTGGTAGTGCAGCATGCGGGGGAATGAAGACTAAAGCAGGCATGGTGACAGACATGGAGGTAGGCACGGAGACAGACACAGAAACGGGCATGGAGACAGACACAGAAACGGGCATGGAGACAGAGACAGAAACGGGCATGGAGACAGACACAGAAACGGGCATGGAGACAGGTGTGGAGGCAGGCACAGAGACAGGTGCAGAGGCGGGGACTGAAGTACACGAGGTACCTATAGAGTCAATCTGGAAGGAGACAGACATAGAAACAGGCACAGAGACTGGCACGGAGGCAGGCACAGAGATAGGCGTAGAGGTGGGCATGGAAGTACACGAGGTACCCATAGGGTCAATGACCTGGAGCAGTTGCAGGTTAGGGTAATTACGCACGAGATCACAGATGGCAGTAATAGTTTGCACCATAGCACAGCCATTCTATAATTCCCAAGAACCAGAGGCACGGACAAGAGCGGTGTAGTGGCCAGGAGTATGTAGAATATAGGCACAAACATGCGAACAGTGGTCCGGGTCACCACCCGAAGGGGCACGCTGCATATCAAGCCGGCGCCTTATCAAAGCAGTCTCCAAAACAGAGATATTGAATCCCCCATGTCGAGTGTAATTACTATCCTGTGGGGGATGCAAAGCCGAGTTATCGCCATATAACTCACGTTCCTGAGCATCAAGATCGGAAGCAATGGCCAAGAAATCAGAGTGAGTATATGGTTCCCGACGATAGGCTTGTAGGCAGATGTTAGTAGAAGCGAGGCCACACAGATTTGGTGGAGGCCGGTCAGGCGGATTTTCTACAGAATCCCCTACAGTCCCCTTGCCAACTTCATCCTCAGATGGTCCCTCACCATCATCCCTCCCGTTTTGTATTTGCCGCGTTGCAGAAAGGTCTGCAGTCGAAGAGCGTTGCAGGCGTGGTAAGGATGCTTGGGGCGGCAAAAGATGGGGACGGGATGTTGGGGAGGGCCGTGGTGGGGAGAATGAACGGGTTCTTCTTCGTCCAAGAACAGAGATGGAGGAAAGGGGAGTAAGCTGAGGTTGGGAAGTAGGTCGAAGTCGGCGTTTAGGACGACGAAGTAGGCTTTCTGCAGGGGCAGAACATGATGACGGAGTCTGTGTGGACGAAGTGGTTTGTGGATTAGGAAGAGGGGTAACGGATGGAGACAAAATCAGGGGAGGTAGGAGTGGTGAAGACAGGGGTGGTAGAGTAGTCGGAAGGTGGGTAACAGACGACGATAAAACCAGGGGAAATAAAGGGTGGTGAAGTGGTTGAAGCAGAGACAGGGGGGGCAGTCGTAGGTGAGACCCGAAGAGGGGACTCTGCAGGTGGTAATGCAGGCATGGCCACGGATGCCATGGAGGAACGCACCGAGACCAAGGGCGACACAACAGATGCGGTGGTCACGGATGCCATGGAGGAACACACCGAGACCAAGGGCGACACAACGGCTGCGGTGGCCACGGATGCCATGGAGGAACACACCGAGACCAAGGGCGACACAGCAGCTGCGGGTCGAGTTGCTCCCGTGGAATCAATCGTAGAAGCAACCAAGGCCGATGAGGAAGAGGCTGCGAACCGAAACGGGGCAGCCAGGGTCGCAAACGGCATGGAAGGGGTTACTAAGACTGATGAGGACACATGTGCGGCAGACGCAGGTAATAAAGAGGAGGTTGAGATAGGTGTGACAGGCGCCGATAATGAAGAGGGGGCTGTGACAGGCGTAGTCCGAGGACAGTGTGTAGATAMCCGAGAAAGSGGGTGATGAATAGACCATCGAAGCATGYTGCGGAACCAGYTGGAGAGGCGGGTCACATGCGCAGGGTACCTGTGTTGACGTTTACGAATATAGGAAGTCCATCCTTTCGCAAGCGTTGTTGGAGAGTGCCCGCGAAAAAGCATGCGGCGTGTGAGCATCGCTGCTGYAGTTTTGAAATCATACCAGTTGTTGCAGACATACTCAAACCTAGTAAGCTGGCCTGTAAACACTCCCGCCGGCTGGTGTGCAGGGACGTTAGATGTAGCACTAGGATAACGAATAACAGGGAAACTCCATTCAGTTGCTTTGTCAAAGACACTCATACGCAGGGAGCCGTCGGGGCGGACTTGGAGGTGTGCACCCAAGAATGTGCAAGAGCAATCAAGCGCTGTGGTCTCCTTCCATTCGAGGTCATAGTGCTCTGACGGTGGTGGCAGATGTCCCCATGAGAGAACATCATCGATCAAGCGGTATGTGAACGCATACCGTTGAGCTGCGCGAAGATCACGCCGCTGGAGGTCATCAACAAATCGAGCCTCATCCCAATACAACGTCAAAATAGCTATCTCCGGACCAGAATTAGTCCCCATCGGGATGCCAATCAACTGATGTCGCAAGGTGCCGTCCGCTGCATAAAGATAAGTGTTTGTGACAATGAAATGGAGATGTTCAAGAATTTGGGAAACGGTCAAGGTGTTTGGTCCGGTATCAACAGTCCACTCCCCTTGACGGGGCCCTTTAACAATCATGTTAAGGGTAGGAGGATGTGTGCGCCCCTGTGTGTGTTGTTGTAAGGCATATGTATAGGCTTCCTCGACCGCTTTTGAAACATTATGACAAATACGGTCATGAGGAAGATTGGTATACGTAGTTGTGAAATCAACAGTGCGAGGAGCATGGTCACGAAGAGAGAGGAGTTACGTTTGAGATCAAGCATCACCTCCTCAGCGCTTTGCACGATCCAGCACCGTCTCACACCGCTTTGCTGATACAACACATTATCCTTCTCACGGAGAGTTTCAATGACTCCTTGTAGTGCAACGCTGAGGCGGGCAGAAGTGACGGTAGTACTGGCCAAGGGTTTGTGGGGAGGTCGATGGTGGACTGCATGAACAGATGGCGCAGTTGATCGAGATCGTTATATATATATATATCGTCAAATAGAACTGCCCGGTAAACCGTAGGCAGAGAGGGAGAAGAGGACAACAAACAAGGGGCTGTGACAAACTGTTTCGTCGGAGTTTCACCGACTCATCAGGAGGCTGATATATATATCGTCATATATATAAGTTCTCCGAAAAATCTGAAAATAATATATGTTATGTAAAATAATAATACAAACAATTTTGCCTTGGAGGTATGCTCAAATTCGTAACCAAACTCGAGTTAAAAATCAAAAAGCGAAAACAAAAGTCTTTTTTTTTTTTTTTTTGATGTGTTGGACCGAACACCCGAACATGTTCGGACGCTCGGAAAAGCTCCGAACATGTTCAGTGTGCTACACAGAAACAAACTAATAAAAACTATGTTATGCTGCTTATGCAGAAAAATAAACTGAACAACTTTTGCCCGAGGAGCACATCGACATCCTTACCAATTTTTTAAAATAAAAAATAAACTTGATTTTTTTTCTTTTCTTTTTTTTGGCCCAACCGGGCAAGTGGTCCGGTAGCCTAGGTACAAAGACTAATAAATTAATGATAATTTAATAAAGTAGTATAAGCTTACGAAGCACTACAAAGCTAGTATAAACTCACTATAAAGTGCCATAAAAACTTATTAAAAAGTATACTAGTATAGTGTTAAACCACCAGTACACCCGGGCCTGGTGGCCTTCCACCGCGCACCAAGCTTTACCGAACCATGAACGGCGCACTTCTTTTTTTTGTGGGCTGGCGCCGCCAACCATTGTGGTCAGGTAGGTAGCCTCGGGCCTCCAGAATTTTTGTAGCCAATGAAAGTGTTTTTGACAAGGCTGGGCCCGTGTACTGGTGGTTCAAGTACTGGACAGTTCGCAGAAAGTTCGTAGAAAAAGCATTGAAAAGTTACGAAACACTCGGTGATTTTCGAAACACTCTACACAAGTGGGCAAAACGAAACGAAACGATACAGAAAAGTTTCCTTTCTGTATCTGTTGATTCCGTTCCAAGCGAAGAGTTTGTACCGGACACTTTTTTTGTTATGTGGGCTATCGTCTCTTTGAAGTTTGTACTGACTGAAATTATCTAAACTCAAGGGTTGAAAGACCGGGACTCGAACCTGACATCCAGACCTGGACATTCCGACCCGGACATCCAGAACCGGACATCCTGACCTGGACATCCAGAACCGGACATCCCGACCCGGACATCCCGACCCAGACCGTCGGCACTGCGGTCCGGACGTCCGGATCGTAACCATGGTTTCTTGCTACCCCCAGGTACATTCAGAGTTGTTTTCACTGTCTGATTGGATGTGGAATTGGAACGTTGGTCTGCATTTCAATAGTTGATGGTTGGGCCGACTGAGGTACGGCAGTCAGGACCCAAACCTGTTTCCAGACCTGATTCCAGACCTGATTCCAGACCTGATTCTTCATTTCCAAATGGCATTCCTAAACCTTAACGACTACCCCGACTCCAGCCATTTTTCTAACTCTTTTTGTATGAATGAATGAACGGAGGTTCTTTATGCCTAAGTCCTCAGCGACCAATGGAGAAAGACGAGTGCATGAGGAGCGATGAAGGTTGCAGAGAGACTGTTTTTTTTTTTTCCTTTTTCTTTTTGGACATCGTTGACGGAGCAGGAGCAGGAGCAGGAGCAGGAGCAGGAAGGAGCATTCTCTGTCAAAGGCTACTCTTTATACACTGACGAAAGTCGTGATGTCGTGACTATAGGACAATACCTGCCGATCGTCGTCATTCTCCGCATGAGCGATTCCTAAGAGTCGCCATCCGTCCACACTGGTAGGGTTTTTGAGGACCTCTGCCTCCAATGCCAGGATAGCTTCGCTAAGTAGACCTTTCCTAAACAGCTCCTGCCCTTCTCTCAAGGGATTAGGGTGCCCAACATAAGGGTTTTGATCTGCAAACTGGTAGAGCCATCGAGATGATGCCGATTTACCAGCCTCCCCCTTCACTTGCTCTTCAACAAACCTGGAAACACAACAACAAAATATATTGCAGCAACAAACACATCCAACTAACCGCTTAGTGTCAAACCAAACAAAAACAGAAAACAAACGACAATCTGAATAAAAATTATAAAATAAAAAAAATGAAATACTTTCATCAATGTACGAAACTTGCGTCTGCTCCGGAACCAATAAACAACTGGACCCTCTGCGCTGGACGGACTCCTGTCCAGTGTCCACTGAAAAACCGGACATCCAACCTCCCCGAACGCGGAAGATGGACACAAAACGTCTCAACACAACGGAACATTTTGGTGAAAGTTGGTACACGATACCCTCAAGAAGATCCTAAGCAAGTATGGGCCTGCACAAGCGACGGGATGGACAGATGGTTCAACCAAAGGACTGACGAATGCACCATCTATTTGCAGATGGATCAATCAAAGGACTGGCGAATGGACCATCTATAAGCAAGTATGGGCCTGCACAAGCGAGGGGATGGACAGATGGATCAACCAAAGGACTGACAGATGGATCAACCAAAGGACTGACAGATGGATCACAGACGGATAAAAAAACAGTGTCAGAGAGAGAGAGAGAGAGAGAGAGAGAGAGAGAGAGAGAGAGAGAGAGAGAGAGAGAGAGAGGGAGTACAATATCTTCAAGATAAGTGGATTCCACTAGTGATAGCACTCACATATGGGGACATCACAGGAGGAAGATGCCTAACATAGGTAAGTCACATTTTGAAAGTCTCATCTAAAATGTGGTCAGTAGTCACATCTGGACAGAATCTCTTTTAGCCTTTTGCCAAGTTGCTGGCTGGCTTGCTGGCATGCATCCTACAGCCAGCCAGCCAGCCAAGGAGATCTGGGAAGTGTGAGTTGCAGAGCCAGGGCACAAATCTGGGAACAAAGAGTTGCACCGTTGCGGTAGTCATCAATCAGAACTTCAGAAGTCCAAAGCCGGGTGGGGGGGGGAAGAACATGGAGAGAATTCATGTAATAAAGTGTTATAAATTGCCAACTGTCCTTCGGGACATCCGTTTAAATTGGAGCGATACAGAGAAAGAATTAGCATGGCCCAAGTGCAAGGATGACACGCGGAAATCAAGAAATGGTCCCCCCCCAGGGTTGCATTCCTGCCGACCGCTGACCGTTTTGCAGCCGACCAGAAGGGCCAACTGGTCGGCGGTCTGCCAACCAGTCAGAAAGCAGCCATCCACAGATTTTTTTTTTAATCTGAGTTGGGGGCTGT